CATTGTCCGTTTTGGCGCACTTAGAAAGCTAGCTAACTTGCTAAACATAAAAAGTAAAAACAACTGTGGAATAGCATAATCCTGTACACTGAGTTTATCAAAACTAGACAGGTTGGCCGCAGTGTTGTGACTGGTATTTGTAGCTTCATTTAGCCCAGGAACTAACCAGCAGTCAGCAAGCTAGCTAACTTGCCTCCTATTACCAGTAAAATCACAAAGTAAAGACAGATTTACCATCTAACACAGTGTCCCAACCGACTGCGTGTAACACAGTTCATCTTCTATGTGCTTTTATAGCTAGAGGGTAGGACGTTAAATGCTTAGACACTGTTAAAACTTGTGTTCCCTACATTTTGGTGCTATATGAACGGCTGCTGCTTCAGAGGCCAGCACAGTCAAATCAGTAGCACTAGTGGTCGAAGATGCACATCCGTGTGTCAAATTTCACAGAAGTTGAACCTGACACAAAGTTTTGAACAGAAAATTTATTTGCTTTTAAAGTCAGCAGCATAACTCGTCCTATGAAATTTCGCTAACATAAGCTAGTGTGACTGGGCTTTTACTGTGGCTGATACAGGTCCCAAAATTTCAACTTTTTTCTATTCCAAGACTTTGCACTACAATCCATATATGAAGCACAGTGAATATAAGATAAATAAAATTAAGTTAAAAAGATAGCTGTCATTTTACACCACACTATATCTGACGACTGTTATTGTAAACATTTACATTTAAATATTTAACTCAGCATATTCTGACACACTTTACAGAAGGGATGCAATGATACCGATACTGGTGTCGGGTATTGTAATGAAACTGTGCTCATTTGCTCAAACTTAACCTTATAAAAAGGCACCGATACAAACATTCGATAACAGCTGCTACCACGTGACGTAAGCAGAGCGTACACTGCCGCGCTAATGAACAAATGACTCAAGCTGGCACTGAACAAGGGTCCACTCTCACATAGAGGTGCTGAGGTTGGACACAAAGTCGCTGGTCACTTTAAACATTCCACCCACCAAGAATTCACTGTGCACTTTTAGCCAGTTTTTAAACGCAAACACACACGACTTCAATATTGATGGAGAGATGTAGGCTAGCAAAAGGGAGGCAAAAAGGTCGACATTTACTGAAACAAAGTCCGTATGTGCTGCCTTTACTTTGTTTGAATGAACAGAACTACGAAGTACAGTGCTGTGAAAAAGTATTTGCACCCATCCAATTTCTTCTTTTTTTGCTAATTTGTCACATTTAAATGTTTCAGATCATCCAACTAATTTAACACATGATAAAAACAATATGGGTAAACACAAAATGTAGGTTTCAAATGATCATTCCATTTATTAAAGATAAACGTTTATTTAAAACCTATATCGCCTGTGTGAAAAAGTAATTGACCCCTAAACCTAATAGCTGGTTGTGCCACCCTTGGCAATAATAACTGCAATCAAATATTTGCTTGTGATGAGTTTCAACATAACTGTGGAGGAATTCTGGCCCACTCTTCTTTGTTTTAAGAATTGCTATAAGTGGCGACATTGGAGAGTTTTCGCGCATTAACTACCCTTTTAAGGTCTTGCCACAGCATCTCAAAGGAATTTAAGTCAGGACTTTGACTCAGCCGCTCCAAAACCTTAATTTTGTTTCTCTTGAGACATTCAGAGGTGGTCTTGCTAGTAGAGTCCCAGAGCCTTTCCAGATAAGTAGATTTTCTTGAGTTTGTTTTGCATTTGTATTTGAATCTCTTTAGAATGTGGCATCATGTGCTGCTTTTTGAGACTGTCTAGTCTGCTTCACATTGCCAGGTTCTATTTACGTGATGTTTAGATTCAGCAGGTCTGGCAGTAATCATGCCTGGGTGTGGCTAGTGAAATTGAACCCAGCAGTCAAATGAATTTGGTTAACTGGTTGATTTAGTAGCTAAGGAAGCAACTCACATAGGACCATGTAGGGCTGAGCAGCATTTTTTCTTCAATAAATTAAGTCATCATTAAAAAACATTATTTTGAGTTTTACTTTTGTTCTGTCTAATTAAAAGTAGTTTGATAATCTGAAACACTCAAGTGACAAATACGCAAAAATAGAAGTAATTGAGAAGGGGCAAATACTTTTTCACAGCACTATAATCACTAATATGCTCATTAAAAAAAATTATTTAAAAAAAGAGACTTTTTAAAATAGGCTGTAGAGATACCGTATCGTCCTACCATGTACATCACTGTCTGCATTTAGTGTCAGTGCACAGTGTCATACAAGTTAGCATAGATGCTGTAGCTCAGTTTCTCAGCATGTTTGCTCAGTACCCGGACGAGCTTGTTATTTTTAATGAAACAGTTTTATGTGAAATTGTTCATAGACAGAGCTGTCTGCAGGGTTTCACGTAGCATGGATCAGGCGCTTCCATACAGCGTTCATACGAATCATAGGCTTTGTCCATACACAATGGTCTATATAAAGTGTGAGTCTCCAAAGAACAGGCTTTAGAGGACATTCAAATACAGCCAAACAAAAGACAATGAAATGTAAACTCCTCAGCTGCATTAGCCTTGAATGTGATTCCTGCTGTCACTGTGCTACAGAGACTGTCGTTAAAAGAGACAGACGAGGATCAATTTTAAGGTACACTGCACTCATTTACACTAACAGCTATTCAATTCTAAGTACTTATTATGATATCGGACTCGGTATCGGCAAGTACTAAAAAACATGTATTCATACTCTGTCTGAAATGCTAATGCTGCATCCCTATTTAACAGAGTAGATTATCAGCTTTTGTGCATATCTAACCATTAGAGCTTGCTAGCATTTCTGTCTACTCTGCAGTTACAGGCAGTTTGGCATATGTGAGTATGTGTTATTCTCCACCAAATTTTCTCTCTCTCTCTCTCTCTCTCTCTCTCTCTCTCTCTCTCTAATGAGTCAAAGGACCACAATGGATCAAAGAGCTACAGAAATCTACAGAATCGTCTTAATCTTTCCACTTCTCAGTTAGTGTCATTAAGTTGTAGCATTTATGGATCTAATCAACATGCATGAAGTTCTAGGAATTCCAGGAACTTTCCTGAAAAGCTGACATGAAGTGCTTCGAATAGGTGATGTCCACTGCGCACCTTAAAATCTAAAACTCTTCAAATTAGAATTTGGATGTTCACCACACTAGGGCTTGACCGATACAAAAATATTGTCATAAGTGGATATACAGTTACACAGAACCCTCAACAACTAAACAGAAATTTTTTTAATGGGCCTACCCCTTTGCAACTGTTTTCATTCTTTCCAGGAGACTTGCTTTTGATTTTCCAAAGCAATCTGCAACAATATTTTTGTTCAGTCTTAGAAGTTGGTTGCATGTTCTGCTTTTTACGATCCAAGAAAGCTGTCCTTTCGCAGTGGAAGGATGGATTGAACAGAAAGGAGCCTGATTTTCTCTTCTCTTTCAAAGATGAAACTTTAGGCACTGTTTATTGTAGTGACAGTTTTGGTGGTCTACCTGGTCTTGCACAGCTTATAGGAGGCCCATTTTCTCTGCAACTTTTAATCATCTTTTGTATTGCAGTTTTGCGAACGTCTGTTTTTAACCTATTCCCCCTTCCTTATGCAAGTGGATTATCTCCTATCCAATCTCCTCAGAAATATCTCCTTTAGTCTTTTTTTAAAAGGCACATTAGAAACCGAAAAATTAATGCTTTGCACTTATGGTTCGTTTTGATGGGAAATTTGCACAATACCATTGCTTATTTCACCTGAGCTGCTAAAATAAGAGTAGCAGCCATGTTTCAGATTAAGCCTTCTCAGCTGGTCTATACCAGTATACTAAATTTGCATGCATGCAAGTTTCAATTTAAATATATTTGCATTTGAATTTGGCTGCTGATATGCTTCTATACATGCTAAAGTTTAGGTTTGAGTGCACTTGGATACTTTTTGCTTTTTTGCCTGCATTACTGTGATAAAGGTTAGCATTTGGTTATTGACAGCATAGCACTCTGTGTTTTAACTAGGATGAGGGACTGAATTCATTCAAGTCTTTACAAATGAGCTATTCTCTTCATTTTACATGAGCATGTTTATTACAATAAAAAACTAGTCAATTATGAATGAATGGGCATTTTTGCCCATACTGAAATTAGTCAGACAATAACACTGGCCAATATTATAAATAGGGATAGATGTTTTTTCCCCTAATACCAATTCCAACATGCAGAGTACTGATCTCATAGCCAAAATCATGTTTCATATTAGCAGCAAACAAATATACAGCTGAAGGTAATGTACCATAGTGGGGACAATCATACACCAATATCTGCAAATTAAATTTATTTAGAGGTTAAAAAAAAAAAAAGATACTGCAACAATTTTCTAATGGTCATGATGAAACAAAGGTCTCAAATGTGGACTGGTCAGGTTTAGATCTGAGCCATTTAATAAGGTCAGTAACGGTGTCCTATGCAGCATATTGGTCAGTATAGCACATCATTAATTATCAGTATTAAATGACATATTTGAGACCCAGGACAAACTTCTTTTTTACCAAGCTTTTTAAATGACAGTAAGAATTAGGGCTGTGCTGTCAAAGAAAGTGACATATCAGATTTTAAGCATTTTCTTCTTAACAAATATGCATTCTGATCATAGAGTTACCTGAGTGAACACTTTACATGTCACAGTTCAATGGCAATAACAAAAGCACTGAGAAAAGCACCTTTCAATCAACACTACATTTACGTTGGTAAGTAGAATAATAAACTACATAATTAGATTGAAATATTAGAGCAAATTAATAACTCTTGACTTCCAACAGATAACTTGCCATGCCGTAATGAATGCTGACAGGTAAAAAGAAACTAGAGGGATCTGGAAAAGACCTTGAGCGCTTCTTCACATGGACTACAATATAATGAAAGTAATGCAATGAATGATAAAGAGCAGTGATCACTTAATGGGTTTGTTTTCAATTTTGTGTAAAGATGAATGCAGTTGAATACATAAATGGATACCTGAGTTACATGAGGCAGGAGTCTCTTCGTCTTCATCCAGAGAAAGAACAAGCTGTTCTTCAAAAACCTGGAAAAATAATATACAAACACAGCTGTAAATATGTAAATGCAGCTGGAGATATTAAAACCTACATGACAATCATGCACACTGACAAATCAATCACCAGTCAACTTTTAAAACCTGAGTAATTGTGACAGCCCTATTACACACCTGTCACAATTTTAATCCTAACCGATGAAATTAACTTTCACACACATGTTCAGTCACACAGACGTACAAAGACACTTACGCTGTCCACCAGAGCAGAATCCTCTGTGCTCATCTGATTGGTTAAATCTGCAGACATTCACAAGAAAACAACTCAATCAATAAGCTTTACAAAATGAACATAAACAAAAACAGACATTTATACACGTGATACCTCATCATGTCGTTTACATCCTACAGCTAACACAAAAAATATCTGTGTTCATTCTCTATGAACAGGTATTGAAGACTATATCCCTGTGCATCAGTTGAGAATAGAAAGGATACTGATCCAGACAGGCAGTAAAGTCACACAAACACACACAAACACCTTCTGGATCGAAGCCAGAGCAGTAAAGCAGCAATCACTATGGTTACCAATGACAGGAAGCTTGTGTGCATTAAGTGCTGGAGGTCTCGGGGGCTAAATCTGCTTTAGCTGGCAACACAGCTCGCTCTCCTTTGTCCACTGCTGTTTTTCACTCATCCTATTTTCAGTACCTTTAACACCACCTGTGGAGTGGAGCTTTAATTGGGCCTGAAATTTTGGTCTAAACCCAAACACAACCCGAACATTTTCTGACCGAGCCCAAACTGATACATAGTTTTGAGTCTGAACCCGAGCTGAGCCCAACAAAATTCTGTCTGAATATGACCTGAACAACATCATCATGTTTTGATTCCAAAACTGACCTGAGTATTGGAAAATTCTGTCCAAAACTGACCCGATCCACGTCATGTTTTGTTTCCAAAAGCGACGTGAATACAACAAAATTCCGACCGAAACTGATTTAAACCACATCATGTTTTGAATCCAAAACTGACCTGAGTATAGGAATAGTGGTCTTAAGTGGCTTATTGCTTTTATAAAACGGTGGCCAAGCAACCATGGACTGCTGAATGAGGAGAATGTTCGGTCGCCCATCTCTGTATATGGCGGTCAGTTCATGAATGTTTAAGCTTTTTGTCATATAACAATGAACATATGACAACACAACACTGTTCAATACAAAAACTTTCACTTTATAAGTACTTTTGGTCACCAAATTACCACAGCGAGTCTTATTTAGCACCAACCCAGTGGCACACTCTTCTCGTGCTGGGGCTAAATCTTAAATGGCTCTCTGCAAGTGTGATATTAATGATGGAGTTCTTTAGCCTGTTAGCTAGCTGTCCAGCCTAGTTCTAGTTAAGAACTTACATTGCCAGCCGCTGAGTGTAAACAAAAAACAGGTTCTTACTTCATCAATACACTCGGTGGTCCAAGTGAGCAGCATGAGAATTAAAGATTATTCAATTAACAGCACAAGGGTTTTTAGCGCTGTGGCACAGTAACACAGAGTTCAGTTGCTGTGAGGCACTCATAGGTGTGGGTATATTGTGGATTTTACAACAGCTTCAAACGCAGCTCAGCCAATCGGATTTTTGGACCAGAACAATTTTATAATATGCTATAATCATCAGCTGTCCAAAATGTAGCTTTAAAGAAAATATTTTTTTAAATAATTAAATAATACTTTTGAACTGCACTGTTCTCATGCTGTGCAGTGTTGCAATAGCTAGCTATAGCAACACTGCACAGCTATAGCTTTCACCTCTTTAAAACTATTTCTGCACGTAGAACACATTACATAGAACACACTGCACTGAAAAGTACTTTTGTGAATCAATTTACTGTATCTGTTATCTCATGAAAACAGCTCTGTGCTGAGCGGGTGACTCCAGTGTACCAGATTTTAAAAGACAAGATTTTTAGTGAAAGTAGTGAAGAATAAAGTATGCTGAAAACAAAAGCAAGGGGAAATGCTGGGTAACATCTGTTAAAAGTGAAAGGCAGTGCTCCCGAGTGGTGCAACCGTCTAAGCGTTGGCCCTATCATAAGGAGATCGCGAGTTCGATCCCTGGTGATGCTACAGCCATCCGTAGCCGGGAGTCTGAGAGAGCACAATTGGCCTCGCTTTCTTTGGGTGGGTAGGATGGCTGCCCTTCTCCCTCCATCACTCAGCACGATGCTAGTCAGCGCAGGTGTCTGTTAGCTGACATAACAGATCTGGCGGTTGGCGCTTTCCTCCGAGCGAGTTCGGCTGTCCAGTGACGATGCGTGAGCGGCAGTTTGAAAAGAAGCAGTGGTTGGCTTCACAGATCTCGGAGGAAGCCTGTGTTTGCCTTCATCCTCCTAGCGCTGATAGTATCATGTGATTGGGGGAGTCCTAACTAGCAGGTGGAATTGGAGACGACAAAATTGGAGAGAAAATCGGGTAAAAATAGAAAAAAAAAGAAAAAAAGAAAAGTGAAAGGCAGGCTGTGAGAACCCGAACGTGAAATTCGAACTTGACTCGAGGCAGGCACACATTTGAGAAATTACATCCAAACCCGACCAACCCTGATGTGCACTCGGATCCTGTCAGGTTCTGACAAATATACCAAGCTCTACTGTGGATGTCTTTCTAATATTCTCTCTCACTCTCAATCCTTTTTCATTTAAAGGTGAAAATAATACATTTCTAGTTAAATGTTACAACTCAAGTCATCATAACATCACTAGCGATTGTCTAGTCAACAAACCAAAAATATGTGGCTTATAATGTGCATTACATATTCACATGAAGCTGACATGAATTCAGCTTCAGGGTACGCCTATTGCTGACACAGGTGTACACTGAGCTATAATGAGGATGCTCTGAAGCAGCAGCACATAAGCCTAAGGTCAACGTAAAAAAAAGGTCCGGCACCCCTGGTCAAATGACATGTCTCTCTGCTTTTGTAAATAAGAACACATCCTCTATAGAGAACACAGTTATGCACATCCTAATGTTTATTTGCTGAATTTAAAATACTAGGGCGGGATCAAAACATAAAATGTGGCCTGTGCAAAAGTTATGGCACATTTTATACTTATATACTTATTTTATCCGCAAAATGTTAAACCCAACAAATAAACAGAAAATGTGCATTAAAATTTTGGAGAAAAATTCCATATTTAAGCTTCCTATAGAAGATGTCTTAACTTGTTATTACTCATTACTTACTTGTTATTAATCAACAAAATGTCATTTGACTAGGGGTGTCCAAACTTTTGAATCTGTATTTCCACATGCATTGATGCATTCTGGATCAGTGCATTCAGTGACTAGCCTGCAAAGACAAGGAATCCACCCAGAGATTTCCCTTGTTTTTCATCATTAACAATGTACAGTCTCTCTCTTGCTCAGCCCGCCCAGAAAGAATGCTTCTGCCCTCATACTGGACATGTTTGGGAAGCCCAGCTTCAGACTTTTACAAAGGCTTTTCTGTGTGTGTGTGTGTGTGCGCGTGTGTGTAAAAATCACCATCCCCAGCCAACTACACTGTCCTCTTGAGTGAGCCAAATTCACCCAATGTACTCTAACAATCCTGCCAGACTTAACTCACAGTGACAGAGAAAAGGGGGCGAGTGTACGAGAACAAGAGAGAGAAGTAAAGGGGTCAAGAGGGGTGCAGCAAGAGAAACAGTGAGGAAGAGCAGAAGGATAAAACAAAAAGAGACAGAGAAAGTAAAACAGGGACACAAACTGGAAAAGAAAGCAAAGGAAAACAGACAGAAAGTGTGAATATTAGGTCTGTTTTAAAACAGGCCAAGCTATAAAAATTATAACTGAACAATAATAAACTGTGCACAGTCTTTCAAATATTACAAAAGACTTAAAAGAAAAAAAGATACACGAGGAAACCTTTTGAAGTTAAATTCTGCTGAAAATAAATACAAATCCAACTCCAAAAAAGTTGGGACAGTAGCGGAAAAAAGCAAATCAAAAAGAAAGCAATGATTTTTTTATTAATTTTGTCCTGTATTTAAATGAGAAACAGTATAAAAGACATGAGTGAATTTTCTGAGCAAATGAATGCTCATTGTCCATTTACATAGCTTTTAAAATATTTTTCAGGTGGCTACAAATTTTGCCCAGTACTCTGGGTGTATATACAGTTTATTCCACTGAACTCATTTAAAGTCATTTAAAGAGTTGAAAACACATTTCGAACTTTTAACTGACTTAAACTTTAGAGTACAATTCTTTTTTGTCATAACCAATACAATAATAATGACTCTGAAACTTTACCAAATCATTTGGTAGTCATTGTTTCGGTAGGGATATTTTTTTAGCTAATTTTGAGCACAACTCCCTCTCCCCACCCCAAAAACTTCACACTCTGTGTTAGCGAACGCTGTGTCCTAGCCAGATTTCATTTGTTTTGGATTTAATGTTTGCTTCCCCTTGTCCTGTGTCCTTAGTTTCAACTCAGAACAGAACAATTTTAATGAAGCCTCAGATATCTACAGATAAAGAGTACTGCAGGTCACTGCAGAGCATGCGGCTGGAGTGCCCTCACAAAAATCCTGTTCTGCCCTAATCTTATAATTATGTTTGTTTTTGGTACATTCCTTATTACAGCCAGGAACCACAATTCTAACGCTTTTTTCTGCTGTCATGACTGATGTTACCACAAAAAAAATGCTTCATTAATTAAAAAGGATTCTTATTTTTGAGGGTCCATTTATGTAAAAATTGAACTTTAAATTTCTCCTTGGAGTTTGAAGTATTATGTAAACATAATTCAGGTTTCAAAACATACTGTTCACTCCACATTACACACAGCCCTGCTGCAAAAACAGCCCGTTCAAAAGTCATCATAATCAACCATGAACACATTTACATATGACTGCCATTCAGCCTACAGCAGTTTAGCCTGCCTATTCACACTGAATTGATAAGTGTTGTTACTGCAGGTGATCCGGAGTGAAAGATGTAGAAGAACACTGTGCTGTTTCTGGTTGACAGAAATTAAATGCATCACTGCAGTATCTACACATCCAAAGCTAGTGGCTTAAGTTTTTCTGAGCCAATCAGAAGACTTTTGGAACCAAACAGTCAGAGCAGAGATCATTTACATACAATATACGGCCAAAGGTATGTGTACACCCCACCTAATTACCGAGTTCAGGTGTTTCAGCCACACCCATTGCTGACAGGTGTATAAAATCAAGCACATAGCCATGCAATCTCCACAGACAAACACTGTCAGGAGAACGGATAATACTGAAGAGCTCAGTGACTTTGAGCATGGCGCAGTCATCAGTCGAATCTGAATTTGGCGAATGTTAAGAGAATGCTACCTCCTGAAATGCACAGTGCTGACAGTAAAATTTGGTGGAGGAGGGATAATGGTCTGGGGCTGTTTTTCAGTGTTTTGGCTCAGCCCCTCAGTTTGGGGAAGACCCTTTCCACTTCCAGCATGACTGCGACCATATGCACATAAAGAGATTGAAAAAGACAAAGTCTGATGAATTTGGTGTGGAGGTAATCCAGTGACATATACAAAGCCCTGACCTCATCCCCACTGAACATCTTTGGGATGAACTGGAACACTGATTGCGAGCCAGGCCCTCTCATTCAATATCAGCGCCTGACCTCACAAATGCTCTGAAATGCTCACACTCCAAAATCTTGTGGAAAGCCTTCCCAGACGACCAGATGCCGTTGTAGCCGCAAAGAGGGGGCAAACTCCATATTAATGCCCATGTTTTTGGAATGGGAGGTCCAACAAGCTCATATAGGTGTGATGGTCAGATGTCCACATACTTTTATTTTGCTATATAGTGTACATCAGTCTTAAATACAGTAACAGAGTGTTTATTCTAAGAGATGAAGAAAAGTTGCTCAATAGTCATAAAAAATGAATATTGCTATTCGGATAGGAAAATAAAAATCAAAAGTGATACAGTCTGCGGCACTTTCTATTCAATTTTGGTTTTAATTTTATGTGTATTATGGGTCTTACAGGATTGCAATTAAGCCACTTCAGACTTTAAAGGCAAATCTCAATATACTAGGTGTGATGACATCATGGATTTCGACTCTGATAACTTACCTCCATCACTTGTGTCATCTGTCAAGCTCTTTCTGTTCTTCTCAGTGGACTCACTGAGCTCTGTTACCTAGAACACAACATGAATATCATAAACTAAAAGGCTGCCCCTGGATCAGTTTTGTTTTTTGGAATTGTGGAGACTAAAGTAAAGAAAGGAAAGAAAAGACTGCACTGTAAAATTAAGCCACACTAAAAAGCACAGCATGTACCTTATAACTCTTAAAGTACCCCTAAAAGTATCTAATCCATTTTTCTGTAGAATATAGAATACTTTTAGGAATACTTAGAGTTGCAAGGTTGTAGCTTAGCTAGACAGCCCTACACCAAGTTTGTTTGCTAAAGTTCAAACCAGAGCTTGAGATTTTGTGACACTGTATCTTCTTCATTTGGTGCAGTTGGTTTCACATTGCAATGGCTACAGTGCATTACATGCGAGTGCTTGTTTATTGGCCAGAAATTTTGCATGAAATTGAGCCAAAAAACTGCAACTTTGCTTGAAAACAGAGATGTTTAACATCTGTGTATCACAGTCAAAGCAATTATACAAAACCTTACTTGTTATATATCTATATATGTTTTTTTCAATTTGAATGTAACCAACCAAGTCACTGATGCAATACATTCCACGATCCAAGAGCCAAACTTAATTGCATTGCTTTGCTATTAATTAACTGCACTGAGACACCGTGATTTTTGATGGACTTCAGTTCATTTGTTTGGTATGCACCAGAGTACGGGTGCAGTGTTCACGTTATGACATACGTTTTTGGATCACCTTTTTACTGCAATACAACCACCCAGTATTTTGAGTTGTTTTATATTTTAACTTAGTGCTTACGCATATGACATTACAACATAAAAGCAAAAAATAGCATTACCAGTTCTTTTGTGAATATTTATAATTTACAGATGTTTATATTTGTAAACAAGCTCCAACATGAAATATCAGGTTGTACCTGCACAATAGTATATTAACAGCAATTGTATGTATAACTGAAATCAAGTATGGTCTTAGAAGCAAGCCCCTAAAATTAATTTATTTAAATAGAACAGAGTGCAGAAAAAAAGCTGCACTCTACACAGCATGTATGCCCAGAGTAATATTCTGCTCATCTTCACTTGAATTTCCGTTTGGTGTGTGTAACTTTTATCCCATTATACACTCACCTGCGTATGCATTTTTAAATCCTTCATTTTTTCTCGATAGAGCTGTATGCTATGCTGTGCGTCAACGTGTGCACTGTGTTTGACTGTCAGGACGAGGGAGCTTGTTAGGGGGCAGAATCGGAGCAGGTGAGAGTCATCAGTCCACACTTCAGACATCCACAATGGTCTAGATTCTCTACAAGCTGAAGGCCTGAACAAAGCATAAACTGATTAGAGAAAAGGAAACTCTTCTGTTTTCATTCCAATAAGATATTTTAAACCTTCAATGAAGAGAACTGATGAAAATGTATAAACATAAGAGCGAATTAACAGAAACCAACAGAACTGCTACTCTAAATCCTGGAATCTCTGCCCTTGGACATACAATGTTTATATTATTTAAGACTTAATAAATAATAATGATGAAGCTATACTGCTGTCAAGCTTTATGTTAGCCAAAAAATTCTAGCACGGTGCAGATTTTAATGGGGGAATTAAATTTTATTTTTCTAGGTAACTTCAACAAACCCAAATAGATATTTCCTAAAAAAATTTCCTAAAAAAGTTAACCTAAAGTGCAGACAAATATCAGTTAAGTAACTCACTTGGTTGATGAACTTGTTGCTACGTCATCTCTGCTTTGGGTCAGTTCAACAGGACCGTGGCCTTCCCCATTGGGCAATACTGTCATCTTCTGATCTTCAGACTTTTGAAGGTAGAAGAGGGTGACGTGACATAGACCCAAATTCACGGCTATTTGGAGAAGTGTTTCCCTATGGTGACCTGAAAGAGAATCAAAATAAGTTGGCCCAAAATGGCATCAACAATATTTTTGGTAGGCATCTATACATTCCACACATCATTGTTGTTGTAACAAAACCTTCTAACTTTATAGGAGAAAGACAAAACATTTCATTAAGTAATTTTGGACCATTTCTATTGAGCCATTTATAATAAAATGTTCACATGATGTAAACAGCAGCTGGTGTTTTCAAATGATATAATAGTTACAAACCAAAACATAGCCACAAGCGGCAATACACTAGGTCCAAGAACGGATTAGGTTTCAGGGCTCAGGTTTTTCACAGACATAAGATAAATAATAGGGAGACAAAGTTAATCAAATGGCATTCATTTGTCATGATGACAGATCACGGGACTTCAGTATAAATACTTCAATTTCTGTACAGACCTTGACCTTCTGACATTTTAAGGTCAACATTTTTTTATTATTATTTACCTCCAGATGCCACAGATAATTTCAAGACCAATTTTGAAATGACTGGATTAAAATCCTAAGACAAGTTCAAAAAGTGCTGTTTTCAAACAAATGATGATAAAAGGAATACAATACATTTCCTGAAAACACCTGTAACTGCAAAGTTATTAGGCTCATTAAATTGCATTATTTTAATCTTGTGTCTTGTCCTCAGCTGAAATCAAGTATGAGATATAAAATATAGAGTAACGCCCCACGGTGGTCAATCCTTGTGAAACATCATAGGCAATCGAGAGTCTCCACACAAACATACCATTCAAGTTTCATGATAATTAGTCAAAGTCTGTTAAATGCCTGCTAAAAGCTGATTGGCTGATGGCGGCCACACTTCTCCAATAACCAGGTCATCCTTAAAAACCCTCTTACAAGTAAGTCCAAAAGATGCAGTATGCCAAAATTTTGCTTGATCACATGTATGGATACTGAGGAACAGTTAGCTTGTTTTAATAGACCCCCTAGGGGCATAACAATGCACAATTATGAGGTCAAGATTCAATTAGATTTTCAATATTTTAAATATCAAAAATCTAAAGATTCTACAGAGCTCTAATTACATACTACAGAGATTGGCTTGGCTTAGATAAATAAAAGTTCTCAAACAGAACTTGTTTTAAACGTCTGCTGCACCACCATCTAACAAAATATACCTCAAAAATCACAACCCCTAGACTTTAGAATAAATGTATAAGAAGCCCAATCATTTGAGCATAGATGTGTGTAACATAAGCCCCTCCTCCTCCCCAACCACTTTACTCTGATAGAAAGTGCCTAGATGTTTAGTTCTAATGGTTGATGATGATTGATGCTAAACATTTCCAAACCATAACATTTGATCTGTTAGGCCTTGAATGCAAAGTACTCCATCTCATACATGACCACTAGTGGCTAGTTAGCATGCTAAAGGTTAGATGGCTAAAAAGAACAACAAAAAAATGCCCAACACCATGACTTTACACCAACTTTATAGCCATCTTAGGATCCATTCCATTACTTTATTATATCAAGTAAAGGGTTTTAGTAGAAACCTTGGAGGGGTGAAGGATTGAGTGAACACAACTGTCAACTTCAGCAGCAAAACTTGCCCAGAAATCACTGTGACCTGACGCATTTTGACCTGACGCATTTCTCTTTTCAAATCCCTAAATAATGTCCGACAAAGCTGTTTACAAGATATAGCAACAAACTTTAATTTAACACTGCACAAACTGCTCTCCATTATGGAGGATGATGGCCACCCGCTGCACACCATCATCATGGACAAGAGGAGCATGTTTAGTGGCAGGTTGCTGTCACAGAGCTGCTCAACTGACAGACTCAACTGATATCTTTTGTCCCTAGAGCCATTAGGCTCTTCAACTCTTCCCAGTGGGGCCAGAAGAGAACAGAGAAGAGGGAAGAGGATAGATAAGGACTGAATCTCTCACGCTGAATTACAGTTTTATTTTATCTATCGGCACATATGGACACCTTACTGTACATATTGCATTTTCTGCACACCTTGCACATCTGGACCCTCCACACCTAGTCACTTTATTTCAGTACCAATATATGCACATATTTATTCAGTACTGCCATCACATGATGTTACCTGCGCTTCCTTGTACATTCATTATTGTACTGCCTTGTTTATCTCAGGTTAAAGATCTTACTGCATATTTTTGTATATATGCCTGTAGATAGGTTTTTTTGTATATATCCTTGTTTTTAATATTGTATCACCCTTATTATTATAACTGTCCTGTGTTGTGTGAGTGATACTGGCTGCTGCATTTTCTTCGGGATCAATAAAGTATCTCTCTCTCTCTCTCTCTCTCAAATTGCTGGGCTTTAAGATACAAACTACTCTAACTGCTTGCTGGCTCATTAGCATGCTAAAGGCTGGCTACGCAACGCACATCCAAATGGTGAGTCGAAGTGGTCTAAGGAATTTTTTAAAAAAATAAATAAAATAAAATAAAAAAAAACAATAACTGAAACGAGTTATTGCTACCATGGCAAAAATAATACCGGAAATCAATTGATTCGCAAATATTCAAAGACCATTAATCATTCGCGGGGTATTAACAATGACACCTGTACAAAGAACACAGAGCACATTTGAAAACCGGCTTAGTGACTTTGTAAACTGAACACAAACACACACCCACATAGAGTGAGTAGGTGTAGTGTTGATGCTGCTCATATTGTCCCCTGTGGCAAAGGCTGCACAGTGTTATTTGTTTTGAAAAAGGTTAGACTGTTATAAAAGGTACAGGAAAGACAGTGTTACCACAGCAACATCCCACAGGTCTTTGTAGTATATATTCTCTAAGGCCCAATCCACACGTACACAGATATTTCTGGAAAGGTCGCTTTTTCTCTGTATTTTGACCTCCTGTCCAGACCACAATGGCATTTTTAGTCACTGTTAAGCAAACTGAGAATTTCTAAAATTACATCAGTCTGCTGTTTCAACACGTGTAAGGCCTCATGATGCGTATCTGACATAGTTGAATAGTGAGTTATTTCTGTGTGGTGGAAAACATCGGTTTGGATAACATATTACTAACATATTACTTTATTCAGCTTTACTTTATTATTACACTGTCAGTCAACACACTCGAATCCCCTTAGGCTTGTTATCCTCTGTTTTCCTAGGCCATGTTTATACATTTGGTTTGGTTTGGACCAAAGCAGAACATGATATTGTTGCATTTAAACAAAAGTCATATGAGTAAAAGATCAGAACTGAGAACTGAGCAGATTTTAAGGCAAACAATATAATGACGTCCACAGAACTTTCTAAAATCATACTATTATCTTTTTTATGTGTTGTGTGATAGAGCAATAGGTCACAAGACTCCCTGCGTTACCGTGGTTTTGTACGATGCAACGCAGAGTGAAATCCCTGTAACAGCCTTGAGGGGTTTGTTGTTTTTACGAAACAGAGAAACTTTGGCACAGTAATGCATAAGATCATTTGTGTGCTGTCAAAATGTGTATATTGAGTATTTTAGAAAGACTTCAAATCTGCCTTCTTTTAAAATTTAAATAATTCAGATTCAGAGCTGATGAAGAGATGATAAAACATGTATGTGTCAAAACAGCGACAGCAACTCATCTTTTCCATGAGCTAAAGAAGTTCTGCAGAGAAGACGCAACAGTTTGTTCAGTCTTTGATTAGGTTAGACATCTTTGGTCTGTATTGTTCATACTTCAGTTTGTTATGAAGCGAACCAAGATGGACCTGTTCAGGGGACTCAGTTTACTTATTTGGTGCACACCAGCAACGAAGGTTTGAGCTAATTTTGATATTCAAGCATGAATAAGTGTTCATGAACGGACTGAAAAAAAGGACCTCCGCCGACTATAAAGTAGGGCTGTAGGCTTTTTTAGGTGACAGCACTGGTGTTCTTAAAAATTTAGCAATATATACACAAAAATATTTAAAAAACATTTTATTACTCAAAACACAATAGTGCCAAGCAGAACAATGCTCGATTCTGATGGAGACTCGTTGTCTTCTTATAGGTGTTTTCTATTCAGTGGATGATGTGAAAACATGGTCATTTTAGAGGAATATATATTTTCACTGTTTCTGGACCTAGCCGACACCAGCTATAGTTGGCCTAGTTCAGGGGTCGGCAACATGCAGTTCTGAAGCTGCAGCAGAATTAGATTTTTAGGTAAAAATGAATTAATCCTCCTAATATTTTATTCTGCTGATCGTTACATACCCAGTTCTAACACAGTTTTAACAATAAATGGTCTTAACGCTGGAGTTAGTGTAGCCTAAAACTGCTAATTCACCAACCTTTAACCCTGAAGGTTGGCGCACAGACTGTGGGCCACACAGCAACGCTAGCCTAGCTAATAAATAACAAAAAGGCAAAGATTTAAGACGAACATTGATAATTTGGAGATTAATGGATTTATCTGCATTTATAAGCACTCCAGCTGGTTTCCGGATACGTTTAATCTGCAGCAAGAAACTGCCAAACAATAAAAAGTTGCAAAGCAGTTACATTCTGGTGCGCCAGGCACCATTAGAGGTGGAATGGGAAAATTCGAACAAGAAGCTGGTGAACAAGAAGCTGACTTCAGCCTTGTGAAAGACATTTTACGAAATAAGAAACTATTCTAATTTTAGGGAAAAGTTTCCTGCCTGAGATGGAAGAAAAGCTTAAAGCAGAGAAAAGTAAGTCTGCATTTTTGTTTATACTATATTATTTAGCCTATACTAGCACATTAGCACATACTGAGTCATATTTACAGGCAAGATGTTAAGATGGACATAAAACACTGGGGCTCCCAAGGTGGTTTAATTTTTTGTTGGAAAGACAAAATGGCTCCGCCTCACATTTGGGTTGCCGACCCCTGGCCTAGTTAGAGAAAACCTGCGCTCTCTCAGACCTCTCTTTCACGTCCTTGGCAAGGTGCTCATGTTAAGTCCTTCCTGTTTGGTAGTAGCAAAGCGTAAACAAACATACTAAATTATTCGCAGAGTTGAGTAAACTCGCCACATTTTACAGCTTGGTTATTAAAAATAAATAAAGAAATTAAAAGGCATTTCACCGAGTTGTTAATCTGTATATTTTCTCCGTCCTGCTGTGACGAAATGAAAATGAGTACCCAAATACTGACTGCAGTATTCAAGTACTGCCACCTCAAAAGTTTGACTATGCACATTCCTAGCATAAACTCTATTTATACCATGTTCAGTGTGTAACAGTCTAAAGTCTGACGTGTCTTGCAACTTCACTGTCAAAAGAGACAATAAAAGAAAACAAAAATATGAACCATAGTATATTTATTACAGGTAAAACACAGACAAATATGTACCCTGCAAATGGTCAGGCATCTACCCTTGACCGTGGAGTAGGATCACTTAAAACAATATTAGAAAGACTGATAGTCTTCGATTTCCAGGGTCAAACTGAGGTAAAGTGGCAGTTTCCCTGGGTGAGCCCGTTCCACAGTAGCCGCAGCATAGTGTGTGTTACAAAAAACAGCGGTAGTTATTCAGCGAGAATGTTTTTCTCTCCCCTCTCAGAAGTGAGAATTCTGTGAAAAGTCTAGCCATTAATCCAAGCTGACGCTCCGTTGCACAGACAAATTAAAGAGACGAGCACTAATTCTGTCACACAATTTAGCGCTAACAATCGCTGGCATTATGTAAGAGGTCCCATGTGAACTCCACAGCCACGACTAGAGACATTCTTTAAATCCTTTCCCTCAGATCACTCTTTAAACATCCACTACTGTCCCATGCAGGAAACAGAGGAACCTTTACATATTATGATATGATTGTTATCAGAAATTACGTTAAAATTACAGTATACAAGAATCTATAATCATAATTACCCTATCAAATGCAGTGGTATTCTAATTTTAGTAAAATTAGTTATTAGATGGTTATGAGTACTGATTAAAGAGAGATACAAACACATTCATAAGACTTGTGATTTAATATATATGTGAACATTTAACATATTTGGTCATTGTGAAGTCCATTAATTATTACCTGTTCACTGATTAACATATTATATGAAGGCATTTCAAGTACGCTTGCAACTGAAAGATTACAATTAACATTAGTTCAGCAGTTAACTGCAAATTCATGGAAAACCTTCTTAAAACATCATATTAAAAGATTTCTGCTACATTTTAAGCTTAACTGCAAACGATAAGTTTATTTACATAATGAATTAACTGTTAAACAGGAGATACAGTGGAATGACTAGAACCTGTAGGGCCCTAGTGCAAAACATAAATTTGCCCACCCCATACAGAAATTACTTTCACTGAATAATAAAATGACTAAAAATAGTAAGCATACTGGTATATTGCATCAGCCCAATACCATTTACTCGTACTTGACCTCATAAGAGGCACCGATACCAATATCTGATAGCACCTGATACCATGTGAGGTAAACTTAATTGATGCTGCCATGCTAACAAACAAACGACTCAAGCTGCCAGTGAACAAGGGTCTGCTAGCAATGCGTTACTGAATTTGCAGCAGTCGAATGTTTTGGTATATTTCCGCGAGGAATACAATGCGATTTTAGCCTGCTTTTAAACACACAAACACAATCACAACCACTTCCCCAATACGGGTGGAGACGCGTAGCCTAGAAAAATGGAGGCAAAAAGTTGACATTTGTGACCAAAGTCTGTCTATGCCGACTTGAATTTATTTGACTGAATTGAATTATGAGGTATAAACATTAGTACACTGATTTTTAAAAATTGTCTTTGCAAAATATGCTATAGAGAAACTGAAAGCTAAAAGCTGCTGTTTCTCAGCTTGTTAGTCCAGTACAAAACAGCTTTATTGATAACTGTCCGTAGACAAGGCTGTCTGTAGGAGCTGCGTTTCATGTAGAGTACTTAAATCATAGGCTCTGTCCGTACACGCTGGTCTATTCAAATGTACAGCGTGATTCACCAAAGAACAAGATTTCTAAAAACACAGTGTATGCCAAGCTTTAGAGGACATTCCACTATATCTTAACCGGCCAAACAAAAGACTCCAACAAAACAAAACTCGACAAGTGAGCTCCTCAGATTAGCCTGAGATTCCTGCTCTCACTGTGCTACAGAGACTGTTGCTAATAGAGATCAGGAGCAGGGATCAAAACTATGAAACATACTTTACTTATAACTGCGTAGAAGCACTTTACTGATGTGGAACAAAATCCACCCTTTTCCATTGCAATGCTACTCAATCCAAGGTAATTAATGTAATTAGTTACATTTAAAATCAGCTATATTGTAATAATTTTACTGTTATGTACATTGCACTCATTTACTAAGAACTACTTAATTTTAAGTAAGCTATTCAGTATAGTACTGAAATCTCTAATCAAACCAAGTTAAACAGGAAGTAAACCTTATCATGCTTTTGCAAGTTGCTTGTCTATTACTCACCCTCAGACCTGCTCTGCAGCATTAAGCGCCTTGCCTAATTACTTTTAAAGGGAAACTCTACTAAGCTATGCAGCTTAATATTTACACAATAAACTGCAAGGCCAGCCCTGCGTATGGAATTTCCTATCAGCATCTAGTTGCCACTGATCCATTACATTCTATGCCAGCCATTTCAAAAAGTGTCAGGCTGTGCACACAGATAACAAAATGCATGCAAAGATATAGAACACAAAACAGGGCTGTATGTAATTTTTTTGAGCATGTAGCGCTGGTGCCTTAAAAGTTGCAAGTGTTGTAGCACAAATAGAATTTTAAAACTACATAAAGTAAAAATTACATAATATAAATGTTATATAATGTTTACATAATAAACAATAAATAAAGCCAAGCCTAGTGTTATGTTCTTACCTTGAGACTCTTGTGTCTTTTGGCCTGTCCACTCTAAATAAGACTGACAGTTTGCAAGTGCCTGTGTGATTTTCACATCGACAGTACTGCATGGCTTAGGTGTGCATCCATGCTCTGGACCAAGTTCCCAGCATGCAGAGCTGTCACTTGGGCTGTGGTCCTTCTCCTCACCAGGTAGCCCTTCTTTGGGCTCATCTAGGCTTTTGTCAAATCCTAAAGTTTCCTCCAGTTGCTCTTGGCTGGACGACCCAGGCTGAATAGTCATATCTGAACTATTCTGCCCAAATCGGAAATTCTCTCCAAGGCAAAATTTCCTCTGGATATCCTGGTAATTGATGGAGGTCAGGTGGTCAGGATTGGAAATGAGCAGATCAGCCACCTCCTGTACATTGTCTCGTTTGTAATCCAGAGAGAGCTCCTGTGACTCGGACAGAGGGGTCACCTGGTTGCTGCTGTCCTCCCAGCGATACACCTGCAGCGAGACCTTCTCTGGGACATTGTGACCTTGGAGATAAAAAAAAAAAGAAGGCAAGATCAACCTACAATATGAAATTGTTCATAAAAGTTAAACAACTGTGCATGTCTTTTTCATGTCATCCTTTTAAATGTTACATTTTTGTACAGAACTGGACCATGACAATACCCAATTAATTTTGATTAATGATTAAAATGTACTTTATATGATGACAAAGGACCTGCAGGAAGATTTAGCTGACACAGAAGTGGCAAACAAAGTTTTGAACATTGTACATACATATAGTCAAAACATTTTTCAATAAAACAAAAAAAAGTTCACTTAAATGCAGACAATATGTTTCAGTAGTGACCACTCTTAAATGTTACACTCTGGTTTTCAGACTTTGGGACACATTTACTTCAAAACAATGAAATTTAACTGCTCACCATGTGGCCATGAGGGACAGGCATGCAGTCTCACTTCTTGCTCTAAAATGCAAGGGTGTGGCTAAAATAAGGCTCCTCCTATGGACCAAAACTGTTTCAGCAGTGACATTAAAATGCATGTATTTATGTATTTTTTTTTCCCAAAAATGTAACTTTTAACCACACTCTATAGGAAATCAAAGATAAAACAGGATTTGGGAACTACAGGACAGATGCCTCTCAACACAAAGTACCCTATAAGTTCTATATATTTAGCTTATTACTATTTCAATTAATGATTTGGGATTAAACAGATCATAACTTGTACATTTCTAAAGTGTGAATACTTTGAACTAATTCAGGAGATTGAGGAGACTATACACTCCTTTTTTGAAATTAGGAGAAGAGGGATTCTGATCACTGTTAAATGTGCTCGAGTCCTGATATGAAATTCCAAGCAAGAACTTTTCAGCACACAAGTGTTGCCAAAGATGCATGCAGAAAAAAATGTGTGAAGAGCTGGTTAAGGCACACTTCATTGCAATTATGACAGATAGCTGGACATCTTAAGCCATTAAATTAGCTACTCTCTTGATTAAATGAGCGCTTGAAAACAGAGTGGTGGTTAGATTTATTTCATCTGATGCTTACATTTAATTTGCTCACTTTTTACAGTTTTTACACTCGCTGATTGGCGTCATTGCTTTACCTCGTTTTATTTCAGTTGATGTTTCGTTCTACTTGCTGTTTACATTATTTTACTTGTTTTTGCACTTTTTTTGCAACAATTTTGTAAAAATAGAAAATAGAAAATCTGAAAAGTAATTTATTTCATTCTCTGTTTGAAAAGAAAAAAAAATTCATTATATAAATTATATCATGATAAAGCACCAGTTTTACAGAAAAAGCATACTACCTCATCTACCAAACACTGTACTGGTGGAGGCAGCATCATGCTGGAATTGCAGGGAAGCCTTTGTAAATGACTTATTATGACTTGAGCCATAAAAGCAAGACAAAGAAGACGTAATTATTTCAGAAGAGCCGTACCATATGCCTGTTTACTATAAAATGATTTGTGCAAAATAAAATGGCACGCAAAACTGGTAGAGGGACTACTAAGGCAAGTAAGGATGACACAAGTCAAGAAAAAATGACAATCATGTGCGTTTGATTCATTTTAATATCTAAAAAGGTTGAGTATTCAGCACAAATAATTTTGCTTACAATTCTTCATTATGCTTTTAATATAATTCACGTAGCAGCCACGAAAAGTAGCTGAAATGTATTATTATTATTTTTCGCTTCTTGGAACTCTTCCTAACTCATTGTGCCCTACATTCTGAGTCTCAAAGGGTACAAGTAAATGTACAGGTCACTCAATAAAATGTCAACAAGAATCCTTTTTTGGATGCAGACATAATGAGATATGGACTGTCTATAAGGCATGCTTACATCTGATTGATCTGTAAGACTCACCAGGTACAGTAAAGCTCAGTAAACGGCCCTTTTCCTTCTTCTGAGCTGTGGTGACATGGTGGAAAGATGAACCTTCTAACAACACATAGTATTCAGCGTTCTCCTGAGCAGACTGAGAAACCTGCAGTATCACACAGGCTTCAACCTGACCCTAAGAGTGAGAGAGAGGGAGGAAAAATTTATGAGATGTTGAAAATAGAGGATTTCAGCTGATCACATAAAGGAAAGCAATGAAGCCAGTAAATACAGTATATGTCCCTCCTAATTACTGAGTTCAAGTGTCTCAGCCACACTCATTGCTAACAGCTGTATAAAATCAAGCACATAGCCAAACATTTGCAGTAGAATGGCTCTTACTGAAGAGCTCAATGTCTTTAAATGTAGCGTGTCAAAGGATGCCACCTTTGCCCCACAAGTCAGTTTGTGAAATGTCTGCCCTGCTAGATCTGGAGCTTCATGCAATAGGGTTGCATGGCCAGGCAGCTGCACATAAACCTAAGGTTACCATGTGCAACGGCAAGCTTTGGCTGGAGTAAAGCATAGCACCAATAGACTCTACAGTAATGGAAACATGTTCTCTGGAGTGGCGAATTTAGACTTCACTACTGGCAGTCTGATGGATGAGTCTTGGGGATTCATGGTTTGGGGAATTCCAGGAGAACACTACCTACTGGAATGCAACGGTAAACTTTGGTGGAGGAGGGATAATGGTCTGAGGCTGTTTTTCAAGGTTTGGGCTCAGGCCCTTAGTTCCAATGATGGGTAATGTTAATTCTACACCATACAAAAGACATTTTGGACAATTATATGCTTCTAACTTTGTAGCAACATTTCCATTTTAATGTCCCTGGATGTGTAATGAGATGTCCAACAAGCTCATTTAGGTGTGAAAGTCAGGTGTCTACATATTTTAGACAAAGTGTATGTTAGCAATAAACGTTATTGATTAATCCAGTCCTCTATTTTTCTGTCACTTTCTTTCCCTTTCATTGGTTTTCACTTTATGTCTCTTTCTTATAAAGCATTTAGAATGTCAGTGTTTGCCAACTCTAACAGACCAGATATAAATCAGCAGTCAATAAAAGTCAGCATAAATTCCTTCATACCATGACGTATTTACAAGCGAAATTCAATAACAGGGAGATCTCAGAGCTGCTGAGCATTTTTTTCCCCTCAATGCTAGATGGTGGTGGTGGGAAGGGGAGGTGAAATAAGATATTATTGGTCAATACTATTTTTAACCAACCAACCACCTGCTGGTACACAACGATATAATCAAAAGTATCATGACTTTTTACCTTTTCTTCCAACAGTAACCATAAAATGCAACTGCCAGCTGTTTTGGAGGCCCTCAGGCCCACTTCTTTCCTCAATAACACTGATGTAACACATGTAAACATGTATGATATACAAAAGCAAATTGGATTTTCATCTTTGTAGATGAGCAAGAAAGTGACCATTTATAAAAATATTTTTATTGTGTTTAATTCTATTTTTTATTGTAGCACTTGCACATAGTTTAATATGAAGAATGCTGCTGTCGCACTCTCCATGATCTTAGCACAGCCGACTTTGTGGGGAGGTGTCAATTGTTTCCAAAGCAGGGGATTCACACCCCTCCCAATTCACCCCTTATTGCTCACTAGCAGCCCAACACAGAGTCAAACATTTCACATACAGAAAGCCAACAGTGTTCTCTGTACTCTTCTGGATAATCTGATAGCAGAGTCACAGGGACAAATACATTTTTTTGGATAATATTAATTAAAAGTATCCAAGTCCAATTAAAAATTTCCAGTCCACTTGCTGAAGAACCACAGAAAGAACCTATATGGTATTTGATGAACAGTACATATAATGACCAGGGACTTGAAATAACAGTGAAAAATTATCAGTTTTAATGTCAGGTTGACGGTCTTCATCAGTTGGACTGGTTATGTTAGGAGTAAAAACTACAATTCAGGCCAATCCCAGGGCCAATGAGGAAACTGTTCACTTTCTAGAATTCCAGCAGTTTTAAAAAATATGAAAACACCCACCAGGACCACATACAGTACGAATGATGCAATAAATGTTGGACTTCTGAAACAGCTGACAGAAAGGAGTGCATCCGTCTTATAAGAGAAAGAGATCTGTGATCTCTATCTATGAGGCTTTTTACACCTTGCATTAACGTGTTTTATATCCAGATCACATCAGGATGTTTGGTTGGACAAGTGAACCAGCAACCAGAAGGCTATGGATTCAAATCCAAGGGGTTTTGCTTTTTAAATTATTACCACTGAAATTAATATTCCTGGCCAAAAACAAAATTCAAGACACATAAAAAGACTTTGTTTTTCTGGCTTTTGAATAAACATACTAAACACAAAAACTAACTAAGACAATACATTTTTATTGTTGATAGATTAATTCAATAGGCCAAAACAGAACTGAAAAACAGTTTATTTTAATTTATATAAATATAAGCTACAGTATGGTCACAAAATCCAACACCCTCTATAACAGAGAACAACTGGACATTTATTAATTTTTTACTTATAAATGACAGTGTCATTTGTGATTTTATTTTATTTCAATCTTTTAATTTTTTAATCTTTTCAGGTTTTTTTCCAGCCAAAGATTTTTGGGCTGTTTTCTTCGTGGGACGAAAACTTACAGTGGCCTTTTTTTTGTTTGTTTGGTTTTTTTTTTGTTTGTTTTTACTATTTTCAGCAGAAATGTTTGAAATTCGGTCCATCCGTACTTTTTTATGGCCGATTCTGACACAGATTTCTTTACAACCAAATTGGACAATAAATGGTTCTTTTGGCCAATGTTTGCTTAAACCAGCCACGCACTAAAAAAATACCATTGCTTCTTTGCTCTTTACCCAAAGCTTGCATTGTAGGTTCAATGAACACACTTATATGATAAACACAGGCTGGTGGGTAGGCTTAACACACAGAACAGTGACAGAACAGAAATACCTTGTCCACGTACAAACCAAGTAAGAGAGCTCCGCTCTCATCAATGCAGGCATTCTAAACGCGCATAAAGTGGAAAATAACACATAATGCAGACCTCTGATTTCATTTATTAGTGCCTGGATCAAAAGACACACCTTGTAAAAGAGGGAGGTGAACATTACTGCAGTCTAGGAGGGGCTTCTGCAAGACAAGGTTCTTTTCACTTTCCCCAGGTCCTACATAAAACCCTCTTTTGATTTTTTTTAACTACTTCTCCAGCCGTCTCCCTCACTTCCTGTTGAAGGGGCCCTTGTGTTATAATGGTGAATGGTGGGTAAAAAGGGTAAAGAATCTTGTTAGGTATGGGAATGGATGAAAAGTGAGGACTCTCCTCTTTCTGCAGCTCAGTGCTTCACATGGAGACGAATGACAAGCCTGGGATTCTCCTTCGGTCACTGCTTCTCACTGCTGTCGTTTTTCACCCACTTCATTCATAACGTTCCTCAAGTTTCCTGCTTTTTCTCCTGCTGTCACCTTATGCCTCTGTAACATTTTCCACACATTTGCAGCCAGTCAGTCCTCAAAATACCAATGCTTTCTTTTCCAGACATATTGGTTAAACATGCCTCCAAAATTTAAAAGCAAAGGTGCCAAAAAGTGTTCTCTGGAACAATGTCATAGTAGAACCACTTTTGGATCTCAACAGAACTTTCCAGGAGATAGTTCTTTAAATAAACAGTGTTATAAATCTAGGAGTGTAAAGAACATTTTTGAAGTTTAAAATTTTAAACTTCCAAGTTTATTACACTATAAAGCTTATTATTCGTTAACTGGCATGGACTGCTATGTTCAGTCAGGTTATGGAAGTGTGTAATAAATGTTGTATTATTTTACCTCAAAATAAAATAGAAAAGGAGAAAATGAATTAAATGTTTGGATAGCAGAGGGTAAACCACTGGAAAAAGATTAAGAAAAAATGATATATGCAATTCATGGAGTTTCATTAGTGTCAAGAACTGTGCACAGCCTGAGCAGCTACAAGGCTAATGTAGCCAACAAGTAATAGCAAATGATATCCTATTAATTAGCCTAAATCATTACACACTTGCCTCAAACCAGGTCAAACTGTTAAGAAAGCTCAGACATGCTTATGTGGTTTCTGACATTGTATGATATGCTATAGCATAAGTACTCATTCCAATAGGCGTCATTCGCTATAAAGTTTCCATTTGCCAATTTTGATCAAAGTTAGCTAAAGTGGCCTTATGACAGATGACACCTATTGGAATAGGCATTTATAAACATATATAGAGGGTTATGTCAGTTGTCATGACAAGCTTATGTAGGTGTCACGTGGCCTTATTAACAGTACCCCACAAACCTAATAATTCATTGGGCCACCCTTAGCAGCAACAACTGCAATCAAGAATTTGCAATAACTGGCAATGACTCTTTTACAGCGCTGTGGAGGAATTCTGGCCCACTCATCCTTTGCAGAATTGTTGTAATTCAGCCACATTGGAGGGTTTCCGAGCATGAACCGCCTTTTTAAGGTCATGCCACAGCATCTCAATTGGATTCAGGTCAAGACATTGACTAGGCCACTCCAAAGTCTTAATTTTGTTTTTCTTAGGCCATTCAGAGGTGGACTTGCTGGTGTGTTTTGGATCATTGCCCTGCTGCAGAACCCAAGTGCGCTTCAGCTTGAGGTCACGAACAGATGGCCGGACATTCTCCTTCAGGATTTTTTGGTAGACAGCAGAATTCATAGTTCCATTTACCACAGCAAGACTTCCAGGTCCTGAAGCAGCAAAACAGCCCCAGACCATCACACTACCACCACCATATTTTACTGTTGGTATGATGTTCCTTTACTGAAATGCTGTGTTACTTCTACGCCAGATGTAATGGGACATACACCTTCCAAAAACTTTTGTCTGGTCAGTCCACAGAGTATTCTCCCAAAAGTCTTGGCAATCATCAAGATGTTTTCTGGCAAAACTGAGACGAGCCTTTATGTTCTTTTTGCTCAACAGTGGTTTTCGTCTGGGAACTCTGCCATGCAGGCCATTTTTGGCCCAGTCTCTTTCTTAGGGTGGAGTCATGAACACTGATGTTAACTGAGGCAAGTGAGGCCTGAAGTTCTTTGGATGTTGTTGTGGGGTCTTTTGTGACCTCTTGGATGAGTCGTCGCTGCGCTCTT